CGTTTAACCGCTTAACATAACGTTGACATTAATTAAGATCGAGGAGAGGGGGAAAATGAGGTAACAAAGAAAACTACAAAAAGAGTGAAATTATCTCGAGGATCGGATTTAACGACAATGACTACTTAAAATACTGACACACATTCAATTTACTTGTCAATAATATGCATAAACATATATACATAAAGAATCAAAAAGAGAATAGCTAATGAGCAAATTACGTAATATAAAAATATAACAACGTGACCAATTAATTGAAACAAAGATATTGATACAAAGAACTAGCGTAATTACTTTAGAGAACATAAAAGAGTTATCGTTGTGGGTAATTGATCTCATGTATGAAGCTCGATAAATGAACAAGTCGAACGAAATCTCGAATAACAACAAAAACATGCATGTGTACATATATATATATACGAGGTATCATGCATACCTTTCGTCTTTCTTCTCTCCTTTCTCTCTCTCTCTCTCTCTCTCTCTCCCATTCTCCATTTCCTCTATAACTCAACAATAATTTCAGTATCGGTCTGCACGCAGCTATTATGAGTCCTATTGTTAGTCCTAACCATTGTCACAGAGCTACTCGCGTGCGACCACCAAGTTACTACCTCAGTACATTGTAAATCTGATTGTGAACGTAGTACAAGCTTATATGAAATTAATATTAGAGTAAGGAGATAGACTAATTGATATTTACGCGTACACGCGTTATATTATTTAATTTTATATAATATAACAAGAATAACTTTTGAGATAGAGAAAAAAATTGTCAAAGAATTACGCAATAATAATAAAAATAAAATAAAACAGGAAAAATGATCAACTATCATCTTTTTCTTTCTCTCTCTCTCTCTCCCTCTCTCTCTCTTTTTCTTTTCTGTTTTATACATATTTATATATGATAACATAGAGAATAAAATATGAAATCTCAAGGAACCACGATTCATATTCGAAAAGAATGTCAAGGAGAGACGAATCAAAGCACAAGAAAGACACCACGGGATAAGAATCATTGAAATACCTAGAGGCGATTGGATGTAGGAAGAGAAGAAGAAGGAAAACGTTATCCATCTTATTGCCATGGCGTATCTGATCATTTCCCTTATTTCTACGTGTTTACGTATGAAAATGATGCACTCGAGGAAATAGAAGGAGAGAAATATCCCGAAACACGCGGCGAAATGGGCTACGAAAGGGAATGAAATGGAGGTGATGGAGGTTTGGTGACAGGTAGGGAAATGGGTGCACACACGTTGAGACAGATCGCATCTTGGCTAGGATTACCCTTTCTCTCTTCCTCTCTCTCTCTCTCTCTCTTGCTAACCCTTTCCTCTTGCATCCAAACACCCCATTCTCTCTCTCTCTCTCTTTCCTTCTCTCTCTGTCCGTATGTCTGTCTGTCTGTCTTTTCAGAGCTACATTTCGAAGGTAGACTCCAAACCATCATACGTGTGCATACATTCGTTATCGCGGTATTGTCGCGCATAGCTATAATCCACGCATAGTCACGAACGCTTTGCATGCAGTAAGGTCTACCTTCCTACGAATGGATAGTAGATTACACGCGTCGTGCGATATTTCCTCTTACTCTAGTTTCATCCTTCGTTCTCTCTTCTCTAGATAAACCGTAGTATGTAGCTTTCGGGCACGGAACGACACTTGGATCCTGTTTACGCGAGATAGGATGCGAGCCGTAACGCTCGACGAACTCATGAAAAAAAAAAAAGAAGAAGAAGAACAAAATAGAGAGAGAGAGAGAGAGAGAGAGAGAGAGAGGGAGAGAAGTAGGAAAAAAACATAGTATTATCTATTATCGTAGTTGCGAAACGTTTTCCACCAATATCTGCGCATAGATGAATACGCGTCGTCTGGCTATGTACAACAGGGATGAATATTCGCTGTAGCGTATCTCCTTTGAACGATCGCGAATGAGAATTCGAATATAAACAGTAGAGAGTCACAGCTTGTTTCCCCGGTAGGACAGAAACAGATATAATATTTGTATACGCCGCGAATGTTGATGTTTAAGTTCCATTGAAATACTACTCGAAACTCTTGTTCGATAGATATATTTACTTACTCGGAAGATAGTTATTTCAATAAATGGTATATCGCTAAGCACCGTAATCTTTGAACAACTTTAATAATATCTATGGTTAACACGAAACTCGTTTATATATTAATTGAAATTTATTATTATTATTATTATAATCTAGAATTACAAAACGTTTTACTTAAAATCTTATTTGTTATTCGTATATAAATTGAATACGATAAAGGTGTTATTTTAAAATTGTAATTCGTTAATAATTAACATAATACGGAAGGGGGATTAAATAAGCTCGTCAATTATTTTATATTGGATTTATGTTAATCGATTTGTATTAATCCTATTTATTTTATTTCTAACGGAATTATAACGTGCGGTCGGCCGTTCGGCCAAATGTTGTTGCGGATTTACGCGATGTGACTGACTGTCATCGTTTAGAATTCATTTTATATTTTGTATCTATCTACGCGTGATAGAAAATTCATTTCTTTCTTTCTTTCTTTTTTTTATTATTCCATTACACGGACACTTGTGCGTATCTTTCGTATTTTATTTTATTTTTTTCTCTTTCAACGACTAATAAATATATCGATCTCTGCGTGTCCAACACACATATACATACACACAGAAACGTTAGTTATTCCATGTAACTTGTATCGTGGGTATCCGCATAGAGTTTTACTATACACAGAATAGGAAGGAAGGAAGGGTATACGCAGATGAAGTCACTTGAACTTCAATCCGTGCGATACGAGACTAGATTTTTTCTCGTTAAAAGAAGTATCAACAGAGTGCGAGATAAAAATTTGTACATTTTTGAGAATCTCACGCTCCAAAAAACACAGCGAATATACGCGCTAGAATGAAGTCTTTCATTGCGAAAAACCGTTGGCAACTATTTCAAATCGATCTAACGATCGAAAATATCTCTACCCGCGAACTAATGAAAATTAATGAAAAGAAATAAGAAAAGGAAGAAAGGGAGGAAAAATAAAAAAAAAAAAAAAGAAACTTCTGGAAAAATAAAAAAAAACAATCGAGATAAAATGTTGGAGGAATAAAAAAAAAAAACAAAAAAAAAAAGAGGAAAGAAATAATCGAAAATACATGGAGGAAAATGATGAGGTCGTCCTATCGTGAGACGTAAACGACGAGTATCACAAGAGCAAAATGGTCGATCGCCGTGTAATCGTTGCTTTTTCCTATGCGTTCCTCTACCATCAGGGATAATATCAGTCCGATAAGGGATAAATTCGCGGCTAGAATCACAAAGGGAAATGCTACAGAAATCGTGGGGCACTGATCACTGATACGAAATTAATGGTCCTCGTTCGTGAATATTCTACGTGTATTCGTACGTGTGGAGAAAGAGAGAATGAGAATACAACAAGCATAAAGCGAAAGAGAGAGAGAGAGAGAGAGAGAGAGTTTAGAGAACGCATATGGAGAATTCGGAGGCGTTGCAGAGGGCTTATGTGTGCGGATGATATTCTAATGGGCGGCAGTCCGAACAGGCCTCTCTCGCGCATTTAGTCGAATGGGGTAAAACTGCGGTTATTTGCGGTGCACTTCAATCGAATTGGCTGCCGTTTGCATAATCGCCTCTCGGATTCGCGTACACGACGACGACGACGACGGCATTCGTCAGCGTTCATGCAACTTTTCTCACGATCACTGGCCCGCAGATTTTTCCATTTCTATATATTTCCTTTCTTTTTGTCTTTTCCATCTTTCTTTCTTTCTTTCTTTCTTTCTATCTTTTTACTCTTTTTATCATTATCTATTATTGTCGATAAAACGAATGTTTCCTCAATCCTCTCTCTTTCTTTCTCTTTCTCACCGTCCCCAGACTTTTTCTCTCTTTTAAATGTCCGAAAGACAACTATTTACAAGTCTATCGCTTTTTCTGCTTCCATTATTTTCTTCCCAGCAATAGTGTGGCATCTACAATTTATGAGGAGTACTCGTTCGATACGTAGAATTCAAAGCCCCCTCTTTTCTCTTTCCTTATAAAACTTTATGTTATCCATTCGTTAATATTTTATTACATAACTTCGACTATTTCTTTTTATATATTTTTTTCTTTTTTTTTATCGTCACGATTTCTTTAAAATTCGTTCAAATAATTTGTTAAAATTTGCCCTTTTTTTTAAATACAATATACCCCTAAAAAATTACTTCGATTGATTTTAAATTTGAAAATATATTAGTACTTTGTAGAAAACGAATGAACCGTGTAATTAATTAACGCTTTTTTTTTTGTTCACCCTCTCAACTTTTATCCCGATCCCTTCGTAATTTTTCTCTTTCTTTTATATTTTTTTTTTAATTACGCAACGTACGTGTTACGAGGTATTTTTAATTTTCTAACGTATAGTACGATTTCGAAATTGATTGAATCGTTAAGTGTTCGCACGAACAATCTAAGGATATATAGGAATTTCACAAACGATACAGATGTAAATTTAATTAATTTTATTATAATATTTAAAATAACAATATTTAAAAAAAAAAAAATCAATGTAAACATTTAATCAAATGATATTTGATAGATTTGAAATCGTAAAGCTTGAACGATATTAATTCTGGAATAAATCAAAAAAAGAAATAAGAAAAAACTTTGGATTACGACTGAGTAGGATGTAATGGAGTGTGGCAAAGACGAATGTAAATGGTCTTTGAAGGTAAAAAGAGTCAAAGGGAAGAGGAAACGAAGGAGAAAAAAGTAAAAAAGAGAGAAATAAAAGAAGAAAACGAAAAAGTAGAAGCAAAAGTAGTGGAAGAAGAAGAAGAAGAAGAAGAAGAAGAAAAAGAAAAAGAAAAAGAAGAAGAAAAAGAAGAAGATAGAAGAAGATAGAAAAGGAGGACGAGAAGACGAAGGTAAAAGAAAGAAAAAATGTGTGGGAGGGAAGTTGGGATAGCCTCGACGAGATTAAAGTCGTCTCACCTGTCGTCGGTGAGGAGTAGAGTAGCACCGCCAGTAGTACCAGCTGCATTTTAGTCAGACACTTTCCGCACCTGGAGCACGATTCACCGACCGAAGTGGTGGCCCACTTGCGCACCTGCACCCTCGAGTGGTTCATCGTTCACTTGACATTTGTTCGAAGAAAAATCTACGGCGCTTTCGCGCGGACCAATTGTCTTTGAAGGAAAAAGAACAAAAAAAAAACAGCTAACCTCGGCGTACCGTATTCTCTCTCTCTCTCTCTCTCTCTCTCTCTTTCTCTCTCTCTCTCTCTTTTTCTCTCTTTCCTAATTTATAATCCGAGTAGTAATTGAACTTACTGGATTCTTTATTAAGGTTTCCCTTCTTTTGTAATTTTCACCTAGGACGATGAAACTATGAAAATTTGCAATTTTAACTTTTCTATTACGGTCACTTTTCGACCTCTTTGTCCTTATTTCCTTTTAATTTATTTCCTTGAAAGAAGACATTTTTACGATACCTTGCCGTAATTTCTAATCTTCCTTGTTAATTGAAACTATTAAATTTTCCATCACACAGTTGTCTCTCTCTCTCTCTTTCTCCTCTTTCTTTCTCTGTGAAAAAAACCCCTATACAAACTCGCGTATTTTTATCCACCGACGATTGCAAAGTTCCTTCTTCATTCTTTTTCTTCAACGAGTTGAAAAGTCTTCGTTTTCTCGTTATAATAATTGTTAAACCTAAAACTGGACTCTTTCTTGTCGCTCGTCTTCTATCATTCTCTTTCTCTCTCTCTCTCTCTCTCTGTCGTTTTTTTTTTTGGTTGTTCTCGCTGTTCCTCCTCCTCCTCCTCCTCCTCCTCTTTCTCTTCTTCACTTTGTCCTTGGGGCGCTAATTAGCACAAATTAATTATTCGCGCCATCGGAAGCGCTAACGCGATTCCTCAAACTTTTCTCGGTTTCTCTTTCGAAATATATTAACTGGCTCTTAAGCCGCGATACGAACGGAATGTTTTCCCGGTGGATTTGCGGCTTGAAGTACGTTTGCGAATACTTATAGAGTTTCCTTCGTTGATTCTCTCCGCACAACTCGCCGTTTCTGTCCAAGAGTATCGTTCTACTTATTCGTTCATCTGGTCCAATTATCGGATACTCGTCTTCGCAACTTAATACTCTCATTTCTTTTTCATTTTGTTGTTTACTCGAATCATCATACCACTATGTAATTCAACTTCCTCTATTCTTTTTTTTTTTTTCTTTTTCTACGAGAAAGTCTCCTTATTTTCTTTTTTTTATATTTATTTTTTTTATTTCTATTCCTTTTTTTTTTGTTTTTTCTTTTCAAATTATTCGCACGCGATAATCAAACATTCGCTAACCACCACTCGAACATATTTTCCTCGATGAGCTTCAATTTTCGAATCGTGACGATTAATCGAACGAGAATCAGCGAAACGAAATTCCAACAACATTTTCGAACGCGCGAAAGGTAAATAGAGAACTAGAGAGAGAGAAAGAGAGAGAGGGAGAGAGAGAGAGAGAGAGAAGAAGAGAGAGAAAGAGACGCGCGTATTTCAACGAAATTTTCCCACGTGCCACTTCCTTGCCAAGCCACGTGGTTACGATATTCATTCACGACTTTAGTCACTTCTAGACGATTATTACATCGATCTCACCCCCACTTATTTATCTCATTCCTCTTTTTTCCCTTTATCACGACCTCGTCATAATTTCTTTGATCCCTCACTTGTAAAAATGAAAAATCACGCGATCCATCATTTCAAAGCCCCTTATACTGTCGTTAAAATAAACATTCACATCACAAGCAACACATCATCTAATGAATTTCCGAACAAATTATCTCTCTCTGGATTGCAAATAATATATATATAATTTAATAAAAAGAGAAATCTTTAAAATGATATCTCTCACTTTCGAGATGATTCGAATGATAAATAATTAAATATTCGATATAATACTTCGCGTTGAGTTATCGAAAATAAATACAAAAGAAAATAAAAAAACCAATTGGTATCGACGATTCCGGTGACAAAAAAAAGAACTTTGACACATAACAAGGAACCTTTTCCATCGGCAGTTCGTAGTTAACAGAAGGCCTTGGCGGGAGCTCTACAACGAATAAGGTATTACTCCCACGCGCGCATGCTCCTCCATTCTTTGGATCATCGTCCAACACCAATCTCTCGCTTACTCCCTCTTTCCCTCTCTTTCTCTTTTACTTACTCACTCACTTCAACCCCCTCTTCATTTTCCTATGAGCTTCGCGAAGAATACTTTCGCTCTCGCTCAGTTCCACACAGTTCAACGTCTCTCGATTTGTTTTATTTTCGTTCAATTCTATTCGTCTCGATATTACCCCACCAGCATCATGCCTGCTATGAACTGCACGTGTACTTAATGTAACTCTAAGGGTGGGGTGATCCATAAATCAATTAATTCGATTAATAAACCGAAGCACCGCCATTCTCTGACTGGAGTCTTTTCGTAGGACTCCCTTTCATTCTTTCAAATTTGCTCTCATATTTTCTCTCTCTCTCTTTCTCTCTCTCTCTCTTTTTCTCTCTCATTGTAATCGAAACATTTGTTTTTTTGTCCATTTGAATCCTTCCGTTTTACGTGCGCAAAAAAATTGATCTTTTTATTTTACGTTCGCGGTTCTCTCTTTGTTTCGATTGAATCTTTTTTTCTTTTTGATTTTTTTTTTTTTTTTTTTTTTTTAAATATCGGAAGAAAAATATCATGTTCTCCCCTCCCTCCTACCCCATTTATATGGATGGAATCGAAATGGATGTGTAGAATGAAGGTAATAAAAAGTTTAAAACTTTTACCTCGACAAAATTTGTTATCATTGTTTAAAAAGATTTCCACGTTGGTGGAAAGTTTAATATGAAAAGAGGAGGAATTAAAAAAAAAAAAAAAAAAAAAAAAAAAAAAAAAAAAAAAAAAAAAAAAAAAAAAAAAAAAAAAGAAAGATAAATAAAATAAAACAAACACGAAAAAAATGGCAATTGAGAAATAGAGAAGCGCGTTTAACAAATGAAATGTTCTGAAAGAAAGGCTCACGTTATGAGGTTAAATAGGGCGTACGGAGAATGTGGTTACTATCGGGAAAGGTTGGAGGTTATTAATGGATCAAGCCTTTAATCGCAATCGTATCGTTCTGCGCGTTGAAAATTACTGCGAACGAGAACGAAATAATGGATAATGGAATATTCTTTAATGTGTAAATGAACATTTTGAGCGTTCTGGTAAATTACATTGAATTCATCATTTCTCGAGAAATTTTTTAGTAATGCACGTAAAGAGATAGAGAGAGAGAGAGAGAGAGAGAGGAAAAAGGAGAAGGAAGGAGAAAGCTTTCGCAGAGACGCTTCTAATGGTTGGTATCGTATATCGCCTGTATAACGAACGACGAAATGTAATTCTCGAGTACAATGGTAACGGTGGAAGCACGTTCGTTAATATTTACAGATATATAGGTGGTATGGTAATTCATAGAGTGAATACAGTTGGTATATTATGTTTCAATATGTGATCTGACCGATATTGCGATCGAACGTGACAACGTAAAAATGTAGTTACATTTATTTATTTCACGTTGGTGTAAAGATGAGAGCAAAATTCAATTATAACGGGGGCCTATTCATCGTTCGTTTACGTTTACTACCAGGGTCTAATTTTCCCAAAACGAGTTTTCGCGTAGTTTAATTCAATTGTGGACGTAGAACCAAACATCGATTAAACTAATCGACCCCAATAAGCTTAAACTCGTAAAACCACTTCTCCGTGCATATCCAAGATTAAATGAAATCAAGTAGAAAATTTAGTAGCATGTAGATCGTATTCGTTCGTTTCCATGAGTATATTATTATTATTATTATTATTTTTTGCTTTCAGATTTTATGAACTTTACCAAAGAATATATAACAAGTATACGTGTAATATCATTTTCTCGTTATTTCAAAGTAGACGTCGAGCTTATCCTATCCACTTTTTGAAATGATAATCGTTTAAATAGAGTCAATTTATCTAAAAAATGTGTGCATTCGACCCTACAATTTTTCACTCGAGTGACCCTTTGAAAATGGACATGGAACATCATTTTTCGAAATGTTCGGTTAAAATCGTTATCATCGTAACGTCTCAAGGTAAATGTTATCGCGTTGAGAAGGTCTTAAGGTCCGTAAAGAGCTCATTTGTCTCTAGGATTCATCTTTCCGATTACACTTCTCTTCCCTTCTATCTAGCAAAAACTCATTTATACCTAGACGACCCCTGTCCACCACAAAATCATCCTTGAAAAACATCCTCAAATTCGAGAATCGATTTGCGATACCACCTCAATTCTTCTATCCATTCTTTATATTTCCTCGTTTTATCCATTATCAAAAAGTCGATCTTCGTTAGATCCCCTTTATGAACTATTTTAATCTGAGAATCCTGTTAATGTATTACGTAGGATAAATCAATCTGCGTTATCATTGCACGAATTATTTCTTTTTCTAACCGGAATGACTGATATCCACGTTAATAAACAAAAAAAAAAACAAAAAAAAGAAATAATTAAATTAACTCGACGTTGTTTCTTTTTTTCTTTCTTTCTTTTTTCTTTCTTTCTCTCGGCCAGATTCGCAAATAGTATTAATCGCAAGTAAAAGAGAGAGAAAAAAGAAATGAAAGAAATGAGATTAGAGAAGTTCAACTTTGTATCCCTCGATATTTCTCTTTGATTCTTCCCTATTAGCAGAACAGAGACTTGATTTCTTTTAACGAAATCGCGCACATTTTTCTTCATTAGGATGATTACAAGTAAAGAGGATCAAACAAGTACCTACCTACCTACCTACCTCTATCGTTATATCGTTCTACAAACCGTTTAGGTGTGGCTCGAAGGGAGAGAACATGTATTATCACCCAGACTTGATTTCCTGGCGTGTCGACAAAAAATTAAACCTAATCATGCGCTTACAGTAGATAGCCAAGATAAATGGATTAATATAGGTCTAACAGTATCGTTGAATTATTAAAATATATTGCTTTGGTCATTTGTTACGTGAGATAGAAACAAATGTTCTCTAATGGACGTGTTGAAATTATATCCTTTCTTTTTTGATACCAGGAGTTTTTTCTTTTCGCGTAACGACAAAATTTTATGAAACAACATTAAAAAGAGAGAAAACGTAAAGACAAGGAAATAAAGAAAAAGTGAGATAGAACCCACTATACAAATTTTTCTATTCATGGTCTCACGATTATAAAAAAAAATTTGTAAAAAATATATAAGAATTATAAAAATATTATATCGTATGTTTTTTATGATGGAATTCTATTTCTGAAATCATTTTCATGAAATATTATGAATGTACATTAAATATTCCTAATAAATAATTATTTTACAAATTATATGCCCCAGTATATTGTTTAATTCTTATTATACTAATAATTTTAATTCATATATATTGTACTAATTTTCTTATTATTATTATTTAAATAATACCTAATGCACGTTAATGCACATCAATGCACGTCAATACACATATAGGCGTGCGTTCGTATTGTAACAACTTGCGTATTTTATTTGAGATTTCAATCGAATGTCAATCAGATTGTTTTTATTATTGTGTTTAAGTAAGAACTTGCGTTTTACATTTGAAGTTTCAACCGAATCTGCATCAAAGCATTTGCATGTTTACGTTAATTTAGGAATGGAGTACTGTAAATGGAGTACTGCTATATTCCTTATGCTTTAATCGGGTCGTTACGTTAATTTAAAACGATGTTCATAATTTTGTATCCAACATTAATAATAAGTTAGAGACCAAAATTTATGACTCGTTATGTGCGTTGAATTTTTTGAAATTTCTTTTTAGTAAATTACTAATGAAATGAATTTGTGTTAAAAAAATAAATGTAGAAATAAAGTCTTAATCTGGGGGCCACCAAATACAGCAACCTCTTCCTGATAAAATTTGCGATTTATCCAAATCTAATTGTAAAATGTGTAACGCAAATATTACTGGGCGAATGACTGTGCTAAATTCAATCTAAATTTATTGTATTTATATGTTTAATTATTATTCCCTTTATTTTGGTCCTTTTGACACATTGTTTTTTTGTTTAATATTTAAATGATCCATTGCCTTTTTCTTTTTATCCAAAAACTATATTGAATTGCATTGTAAAACTTTGACAATAACAATTCAACAAAAATTGTTAAAATTAAAATGATGTCTAACGAAACATATAAAACGATCAAAAAAATAAGTTCCGTTATTTTTGCACGAATTGAATCGTGAAACAAGTATATACTTATAATAGCTATTAATGGAACGATAAGTTTCTTGATAATAGATACAATATTCTATTTAAAAGTTTACGATTACATAGAAACTTCAGTCTCGAAGAATAAAAGCAATTTGTTTACGCTAAGTCTTGAACTTTTTAATATTATTGTGACTTCTGAAAACAATTATTTCAGTCGAGATGCAACCGTCCAAACGTCAACATCTTCGAGTCTGTAAATATGACAAGTTCTTAGATAAGAATTACATTTTATCTAAGTGAACGTTTAATTAAGCTACGTATTAATCTTTTTTAGTCATTCTGTGTGTTCTCATTTTATCTAAACCTATATGTATATGTGTGTATGTATGTATGATATTTCTTGAAACACTAAAAAAAATATAGTTTGAAAATTCGAAACAAAAATAATTTCGTTATAATCTCCTAACAACGATATTATTTTCACGAATATCATTCGAAAACGACATAGATTCGATTTACGAATAATATATTCTTTAAAACGTGTTGTAAAGAATCGAATAATATAATAGAAGAAGTAATATAAAATATACTAATTACCTGTAATTATAAAGAAGATACAGATTCCTTATAGAAATGGTACCTGCAAGTACATAGTATCCTTGCAGTACACTATCTTTGATTCACTTTAAATTGATAATAATCGAGACATATTGAAAATGTTAAATCGATTACTAGAAAAAGAAGAAACTAAATGACAAATACGCGGGTAAATAATAATGGTGTGTGTAAAAAATCCGGATACAGCTGACCTATATAAATTCTGAGAAAAAGTATTGGCAAGTTAACCTACATAATTTCTTGGAAAATATCTCTTTTCAATGGCAAAGTAGGTGATAAAAAAACTGTCTCGCTTGTTATCCACACAAACATTCAAAACACAAGAATATAAATACCTATATAGAATCAAACTTGGCGACAACACAACAAGCGTTCATAAAAACTTTCTATGTCTGTCTCTCGACATGTGATTTTCTCATGTATATATCATCTACACATGCATACATAAATTCTTGGAAAAGTCCAGGCTTCGCAGGTTATACATTTCCTTATTTTCAAAAAAGAAATAAAACTACGTTGGGACGTAAAATATGCACTATATTTTCTCTCTAAGCTCGTTATACTATAATATTTTATTGCGAATTATTATTAACATTTATAGCATAACTTTAATAATGTTCTGTATAAAAGTGTTGCCATCCGCGAAAGAAGTAGGTAAGAAATATTTCTGTGTGTGTGTGTGTGTGTGTGTGATTAAAATTATTTTATATTCTATGTAATGTTTACAATGTTGTATTTATGTTTTGCTGATAAAAAAAAAAGTCGTGAATTCTTTTAAACATTTCTATAACAGCTATTCAAGCACATTGAATATAATATAAAAAAATGTGATATGAAATAAATAGTATTAAATATAAACTTGGGGTTGTTTCAAACCAATGATGTAAACAATTACGTGATCACGAACGATAAGTTGACAAGTTAGTCTTCTTTTAGATACGGACGAGTAAACATCGTGCATTTCTTGTTCTATGCAGGTATGTTCAATTAATTAATACTTTAGATTATTTTACATTTATTTAAGCAATATGAAACATGTGTTTATTACTTCGGTATAATGTATTAATAAATTAACAAAATACATTTATTTATATGTCATATAATTATTAATGCACATTGAATAGAAATTAATTTTAATGTAAAATTTCGATAAGAGAGAATTTCAAATTTAAAGAGAGAGAGAGAAAGAGAGAAGAGAGAGAGAGAGAGAGAGATTGTTAATTAGTGAAATAAATAATACCTGAAAAGCTCGTACGATCTTGATGGTCACTTTACCGTTGAATTTCAACCAGAAAACATCATAACTTTTTTAATCTATAATATAATCGATTAACATAATTAATTAATTTTTCAAATTAATTAGATCAACATTTATTTAAACAATTTATAGTATATACATACTTCTGATTGGTGTATATAGCTTATTAGAGAATTAATAGTAATTTGATAAGAATAACTTAATAATCTCTGATTAGTGATGTAAACAACAGATGATTCGTGTAACTTTGCCAAGTGACAAGTCAGTTTATCGTTAGCTACTAAAGAATTAACATTGAAACTTTGAATTTAATCTCTCGAATAAATAATTATTTCGATCTGCATACACATGTATATGTAACTAGTAAGTGGTAACGATAATAATAAATAAAAATACTTACTCGTCAGATCGTGTAAATAAATATATTGTACCGCGACGATTCGTAGCGTCATCTGTCGTATTGTTTAGTGAACTAAATTGTGTAGACAGCTTTTATATAGAAGCTAAAGGGACCCTGGGCAAACGTATATACGTATTTAATAAATAATCTATTATATTTCATTGGTATTTTTAATATTTGTTGTAAACAAAATCGTATACATAAAGCGGAATAAGTGAGAAATGATATTCCTTTTTCAAATTAAATACAAATAAAAGTGATAATCAAGGAAACGTATGTAGAACAGAGGTTAAAATATTGTGATATTTTGTTATTTTTTTCGTTTTCTTTTCCTTTGATTTTTGTTTATAGTATTTATTTATATTTTTGTGTACACGTTTATAGAATTTAAAATACGTTCTCAACGTTGTGTCCGTTGCGACACTTAATAAATCATCACCATGAGCAAGATGTATTCAACTGCTAACTTGTCAGACAAGGAATTAAAGGAGCAAGGCAATCGTCTGTTCAGTCTACATAAATATGAGGATGCTGCAAACTGTTATACGAAAGCAATTGTGAGTGATACTTCAAATCTGTGCAGATCAGTTACGACTCTGCATTTGTATTCCTTCAGATAAAGAATCCGACTCAAGCGTTATACTTCACAAACCGAGCATTATGTCATCTCAAACTGAAGCGTTGGGAGTCATCGTGTCAAGATTGTAGGAGAGCTTTGGATATAGATCCTTGTTCTGTAAAGGGACACTTTTTCTTGGGTTTAGCTTTACTTGAACTAGAACTTTATGATGAAGCTGTTAAACATTTGCAAAGAGGTATGTTTTTATGAAATAATAATAAATGAAATTTATTCTACTTACAAAATATGATAGAGCTTCTTAAAAAATATGAATATATTTTGAGCCTCGATATTTTGCTTCTTTCTATTTGTATCATGTGCTAGAATAATTAATTATATCGATAGAAGGTCTATAATATAATGACAGTTATTATACTTTTTTTTTTAAATGCAACAATAAATGTAGTTTTTAATGGTATCAAAATATTTGATTAAATATCTCCATCGAATGACAAAATCTTCAAAATTATATATCACGTAGTATACTTTCTTACATTATTATAACTAATATTATTCCGAATTTGACACGGTTGCATGGAGCATTGTGACTACGCATAATTCATCTGTAAATGGTAGGAATATGTCCATTGAATTTCGAGGTAAAATACAATAAGTTGCATTGTTGCTTGATTCCTATCATTTGGCTATCTTGCACAACTCTTTTAGACACTAGATGCTACTGTCATCAAATTGTTAATTACTATTAGAATGACACTAATATTATTTTGAAAATGATTAACTATGCTAAATGACAATGGCATAGCGGTGGACTTGGCCAAGGAACAGAAATTAAATTATGGCGACGACATTACCAGTGTCTTGAGGCAAGCACGCAAACGCCGTTTTCAGTTGAGGGAAGAACAAAGGATTGCACAAGATATTGAACTACAGACGTATTTAAATCAATTATTAGCCGAGGATGCTGAAAGAAAATTAGCTACTTTAAGCGATCAAGAAATTATCAAAGATGGGGACAATAAATCTGGAATGGATGTATCGAGTAGTGATTTAGCTAGGAGGAAAGAAGAAATCGAAGAAAAGCGAGATATTTGTACAGCTCGTCTTAATGATTTATTTGCTAAAGTTGATGACAGAAGAAGGGTCAGTTTATATTATCGTATATTATTATTATTATTATTATTCGTAAGGGTTTCTTCGTGTTAGTTTTAGCCTCATTAATATCTATATTAATTTTAATAGAAAAGAGAAGTGCCAGATTACTTGTGTGGAAAAATTAGTTTTGAAATACTTCAAGAACCTGTAATTACACCTAGTGGAATTACTTACGAACGAAAAGATATTGAAGAACACTTACAAAGGGTGGGACATTTTGATCCAGTTACACGTGTTCGATTAACACAAGACCAATTGATTCCAAATTTAGCTATGAAAGAAGTGGTGGATACTTTCCTTCAAGAAAACGAATGGGCGTTGTATTATTAATGTGTTGATAAAATATACTACTATATATTTCTTACATTTAATTCGTATAAAAGGATAAAATATATTGTCAGTATATGATTTATTAATATTTTGGGGAAGAAGTTTTATTCTTTGTATACATACATATTCTGTCATTTCTGTCAAATGAATTAATAGAAGAACATCTAATACATTTTTAAATAATTTAATTTTAAATTCAACTGACTTTTTATTGTTTGTAAATTGTATACACATTTTAATAAGAAGTCAATGAAAACTATTTACACAATTTCTTTGACAATCTTTATATTATTAGTAGAATTATTTATTATGTATATCCCCAGCTTAGCGGTAAAATCTTTGTACATTAGAATCAACCTGTTGACTATTTTATGCACCCATAGATAACATAAGTTTGATCATTGAATATGTATATTTTAATTTTTTTCACGAATAATAAGTCATGTATTTTATGATACAATACAGTTTATTTTATTTCCTTTGATAAAATTTGCGTAAATAGTTTATTTAACTATTTAATTGTATTATGAGTATAATCTGTTAGTCTTTTTCTTCTTCCTCTTTTTATTAGAATTTTGTCCTGTTATAAAAGCTTTTTTTTTATTGCTATTTCTAGGAGCGATTTATTGTTTTTACTGAGGGTATGTTGCTAGCCTCACCCTCAATCTGTTAGTAATAATACAATAAAGAGAAAGAATAACTACAATTAATGCCACGGAGGGTGGTATAAAACATTGAAAAAAGGATGGACGAGCAGTTGCTGTCGTAGAAAGCATAATCCAACTTAGAAAACGCAACATATTGCTTAATATCCATGAATTGGAAGATTTGGAAGATATTTGTACGAGTTCAAGAGTATTACACACAGCTAAAATTTCCCAGCTAATGAGCAGTATAGAATCTTCTGTCAATAATCGTGTACTATAACTGTAAATCATTTTTTATTTTTCATTATAATATTGCAACAATAAAATAAAACTAAAATATTAATAGTAAAGTTAACTGACCTGAAATTTTTCGCCCATACAAGAACAGATGGTATAGCAGCTATAGCGGTAAAACTCCATAAAATAAAAAGAATTAAATAATCTATTATTTTTTGCTGACTATTTGCACTTGTTCCAGTAGTTTCTGTTCTTGTTCTACTCTTAAAAAATCTACCAAAGGTAAAATGTTGTAAGCAAGACATCAATAATTCTTCTAAATAATCTTCATACATTCTCGTCAATTTTAAAAAGTGCAGAAATACTGAGATAACCATAGATAATGCTCCACACGTTGCTGGAACTAAAGATATGACAAGAATTGTTGTAAAGAATGGCAATTGATTTAATCCACCGAGTAACCAATCAGCCCACGTCATCGAAAAGGCTATTGCTCGTGCTAAAAACCTATAGAAAAATATAAGAATATTTTTAAAAAATACTATTAAAAAATAAGAATTTTATATTACAAATAAATATATGATCTTACCTTACAGCTATGCCATGTGCTAATGAACCAAGGAAAATAACAGAACAGCATGTACCAATAGCGAATATACAAATTATGGCTAAAGCCACAAAACTTTCGAAAACAATACCAAAGTAGATGCATAAAGCAATTGTAACAGTTAATGGCGGATATATATTTTTATCGCTATCTATTCGCGATGATATTATTATTAAGAGTAAACTTATGATAATTATATAAAGATTAGACCAGCGATCTCGTATTAAACAAGAAATCTGATCTATTATGCCACCTTCTTTAATATTAAATTTATATGAACACTTTGGTTCTAAAGTCATTCTTAAGATTGCAGAAATATTAGTATTATAGTTGTAACGTGTCTGTACTTTTAAAGTTTTAGGTCCATCATCACTGTAAAACAAACAATTGTTGTGCAGATAATTTAATTAAATACTTGTATAAAAAAAGAATGCACTTACATTTCACTTAAGAATATAGTTTGACTAATGTCAGAATTCAATGATTCCAATAATTCAATACTAGTGTGAACTGGTCCTTTAATATCTTTACATTCAATATTTTTGAGTTCCACATCTACTACATTTATTTTATCTAAAGTTAAATAATATCTTGTTTGCCCAGGTGTAAAATTTATCAGACCAGATAAATCAGAGCTAAAAAGATTTTTAATTGTCCAACTCCTCCTTTTTATAGGCAAAATTCTCTTTTCATGAGAATATGCATCAACGGTAATTATAACATTGTTTTTTAAATCTTCTGAAGGTATTCTGATAACAATATGTGTCACATCTGGATATTTAATTTCTTGAGTATCTAAATCAACAACACGTCTGAGTCTATATAAATAATCAGGAACCATTCTTGTTCTATTTGTAAGATTCCAACCCCAGTCGCTAAAAACAAATAATAAAATGTTTTAGAAATAAATGATTAGATATAGCTTGAACGTTAAAATAATATGATTTTTATACGAACCACACTCTAGAGTAGCCTTGCAAATTTGATGCAGAACAAACAAAGAGCCAATCTTTTGTTTCCAAGTTTATTGTTTCAATTGTCAAATGATCACGCGGATCTATAAGTCTAATCATTAAATACGTAGGAACTTTTCTAGAACTGTCGACTTTATTTTCCCATGTGTATTGCCTCTGGATATTTTCTATCCATTCACCTTTTTTATTAAAATTAAATTTTTCTTTATAATGATATAATCTTTTTCCTGAAGCTCGCTATAAATATATAATAAATTAATATATTTACCTTTTTATAAATATTAAACATATAAGTAAACTAGAAATAAAAATGTTTCCTTACATGTAAAAAATGATAAGATAAAGCTTCTAATTTACGAGCAGGTTCATTATAAATTCTAGGTGGTCTTTGTGTATAATTAACGCTATCAAATAAAGATCTCACGACAGAGAGAACTAATTGTTTGCACCACAAAATACATTGATGATCTGTAGATTTCCAAACATCTGGTATACTTGTAGATAAAATATTTATATCCGCTATAGAATCTATAACTTGATATGCTGGTACGATTATGTCTCTTGGGCCACCAGCAATTGATACCACCTTTATACCAGCATCTTTAATGTCACTTGCTTTTTTCTCTAAAGCGTAATAATAATTGGCAAAAGTATTATCGAGCACTAATGATGGTGTTGAAGGAGCTGCCAAATTGATTATAATACTGACAGTACTAACATTTGCATTAGGTACTAATAAAATAGCTCCTTTGGCTATAATTCCTCCCTGAAAATGAAGATAATTACATTCTTCTAATTTATATTTTTCATTGCAAACATGTATTTATAATTACCATTGAGTGACCAAGAAGTACAACATTATCCATGTTTCCTTTATACAAACTTAAAATTTTGTTTATGCAGTGATAAACATACATAGTTTCTTCCATCAATACACCTTTTATAAAAAAAAAAAATATCTTTCATTGTTATTCATATATTGCAAATAAAAATATTATTTTTATACTAAACGTCTTTTTAAATATCTTATTAACTAGAATTTTTATTTCAATGTGATATTATACGTACCGCCATACAGACCAGAATAATCTTTACCCAACGATACGGTAAAAAAGTCAAAGTGAAAGGGTGTTCGATCTTTCAGAGCTTTTCTCAAACTGACAGAAGCAATAGATCTTACTGTGTATGCAAACAAAGATATACATATATACATGCAGAGTATGTTGTAACTGATTTCACTATCCTAGTATAAACCATAATTAAAAAATATTCACACGTTACCTTGTTCATGAGAGCCGGCATTTCCAGGAATAAAAAGGACAGGTATTCCTGTAAAATGCATTCTTCTAAGTTTTTCTGTAACAAAACCTTCTCCGTATGCATACAATCCAAATCGTGGATAATTGTTTTCTATGTTATCATCTAAAGCTACCCTCTATATCAAGATAAAAAAATGAAGAATAATAAATTAATCTTTCACAAAATAATATTTTTTAAATAAATATACTTACCACATATTGAGGATATTCAAACATATAAGTCATTTCACAAGTATTATTCTCAAAATCTGTGATGTACCGTACACCACCAAGGATATATAATAATAATAAAAACAAAAATAATGTAACTACTAAGAAATAGAATAAAATAGATTTAAGAAACGTCATGTTTTATCATTAATATCTACGTTTTTGGTTATTTTCTAATCATTTCATTGACATTTACGTTAACCTTGTCATACTACGAAATATGTATAAAATGTTTCGATATTTATTAAGAATCAATTCTAACATATTCAACATTTTTTGCGATATTTAAAATAATTCACAAACGATGTATTTGGTATTATCAATAACACATTTTTAATTTAATTTTAAGGTTATTGGTACGTCAGTTATGTATGTGAAGATTGGTACATATGATTGTATGGACTTGTAACCATTTTTTAAATTCATTATATTATATTACTTTTAAGAGATTTTAATTTTGTTTCAAGTGTTTGATATTAATTAATTTTTGTAAACACTTATCTATCACGAAATAAATATTCGATTACATAATTCAATCCGAGAGTCAGATATCTTTCGATGCGATATGAAATGTACGTGAGAATATCATGAACTTTCTTATACTATAGCAAAGTTCTTTCAACATCATTCTTCAGAATTGGAATACAAAAGGGCAGTTGTTAGAAAATGTCATGTACAATATAAATCACTAACAATTTAATGGTTTAATAATACTAATTGACTAAAATTAAATTATCATGCATTCTTCATTTATATGAATGAAAAAAATATCTAAACAATCGTTTAAACAAATTACGTTCACTTTTATTAGTCATACAAACGAAATATGTATCTTTATGAACATATACAGATATTTATAAAATTTTTTTTTTTATTATAGGAAGTAATATTTATGTATGAAATTACAGATTATTGGAATATAATACAGTGATCAAAATTGCATTGTTAGTAACATAACCGTCATGCATATTTTTTACATAAATTGATTTTTATTGAGTAGCATCATCTCTAGATACCCCAAATGGTTCTGGTACTGTTTCTGCTCCACTGTCGCTAATAACAACATCCTCTGTTGGTTTATCTCGACTATCGGTAGATACAGCTTCTATTTTTTTAATAATATCCTAGAGAAATATAACAAAATACATTAAAATAAATAGAATTAATATATTAACAATATTATAGTATTTTTAAATCGGCACATACCATTCCTTTAATTACTTTTCCAAAAACAACGTGTCTACCATCTAACCATGGAGTTTGTACAGTAGTAATGAAAAATTGGGAACCATTGGTATCTTTACCAGCATTTGCCATAGATAACCATCCGGCGCCATAATGTTTCAACTTGAAATTCTCATCAGCAAATCTAGCACCATAAATACTATGTCCTATAAAAGAAAATTTAATGATTCATTGAAATATTATTAAATGATGTCAAAAACATCTTTTTTTTTTAAATGTATAAAAGAAAAATATATTTAACCTCCAGTTCCATCTCCTTTAGTGAAATCACCTCCTTGAATCATAAATTCTTTAATAACTCTATGGAATTTGCTTCCTTTGTATCCTTCTCCAACAGGTTTCTTAGAAAGTTCAACAAAATTCTGTACTGTTTTTGGTACTGTATTTCCAAAGAGACCAATTTCAACCCTTCCAACATCCTTACCACCAATTTGAATGTCAAACCATACCTAAATATGTTAAAATAATAATACAATGAACAAAAAAATTCTCATCGTACAGCTGTCATTCAAAGGATCATGATTTTTATCATGAAAATTCATATTTACCTTATCAGTTACTTTTGGTCCCTTAACTGCTTTATCATCAGCATGAGCGGCCAAACAAAAGATTATAGCCACAAGGCTAAGAAGTAAAATTATCCTCATTGCTACTTGTATGATTTGTCGTCTATAATAGCGATTTATAGAACAAAGACGTTCGACGAACAACTGCCGTTCATCGATGACTAAATTGTATGTAGTCAAAGGTGAAGTTGAATGAACCATCAAGACTTGAAATGCGCACCACTGCGCACGCGCACGTGCAAGTAATGTGGGTACCTATCATTGGTCTGTAATAGATTTTGTCATACACCACTGTATGCTATCAAATAGGCACCCCTGATAATTTGTCGACTTATTCCGATTGCGATTAAAATTATTGTAATATTTTCTAAATTTCAATTCTGATTGTAGTTTGAAATAAAAATTACTTGGAGATAATATTAGTTGTATAAGTCAAATGATTAAAAACCTTTGCAAATGATGTACACATATGCACACATCACCATATGGTACACGCGAGTTTTATAAAAAAGAATAACTATCTTCACTAGTGTATTTTTTTCGCTTATCTTTATAATGATAATTAGGTTCTATTTTTAACATCTTATGAAAAACAGTGATTAATTATTTGAATTTATTTTCCTATCTTCTCGTCTGTATCTAACAAAAACTTATGTATGCAATTAAAAGGAAGAAAAACTCTCGATGAAAATTCGATTATCGATTTCATCATAACGTTGCCTAGTTCACATTATAAGTATATTCTGCCGGTAGTCTACATATTATATTATGTTCAAATGTGAAAAATAAACTAATGTTTTAGGAAACTTTATTAATTTCATATCTTCTAAAATATTAAGGTATAATTAATAATTGTATTATTTTATTCTTTTAATTTTGAGAAATTATTATGCATATTAATTCTTTCTTATGTTCTTTTAAAGGTTAGATGAGTTAGCATTTTCTTTAATATTACACATTATTAATATTATATTATCTAAGTATTATTATCATGAGTTTTTTATTCTCGTATCTATTGATAAATATAATATTTTATTTTTATTATAACCTCTAAATTTGCATGACTCATCTAATGTTAAGAGATTATGTTTGAATATTCTTGAATTATTGTTATGCAACAATAATAATAAGAATTTGATAATTTTACTTTGTAGCAATGGAAAACATGGAAATAAAAACAGAGAAAACTCAGACTGATTTCATTCGCAAAGATTTAAATTTTGATATCGATCCTAAAGATCCGTCAACTAAAGCAGCTTTAGCCGATCATCAAGTAGACGAATGGATTGATATTCTTGGTAATGGACAATTGAGAAAAAAAGTTATAAAAGAAGGTCAGAATGGAACGCGACCTAATACAACAGATTATTGTACACTGAAAATTATTGGTAAATTAGAAGCTGGAAAGATAGTAGAAGAACATGAAAATATTACTATACAATTAGGTGATGTTGAAGTTGTTCAGGTAATGTGTTCTACTCTTTTGTAGTGAAATAAATTTTTCATTAAATATTTTTTGTTAAATTTTTGAAATATATAATGTGATTTTTTTCTTTTATACGTAGGGATTAGATTTAGCAATTGCTCTAATGAACGTAGGTGAAACTGCAGTAGTGGAAGTTGCTTCGCGGTTTGCTTATGGTACATTAGGAGTTGAACCTGATATTCCACCTAATGCTACTATTTGGTATACGGTTGAATTAAAATCGGTTGAATTAGAAACGGATATAGAAACTCTTAGCATCAGTAAGAGAAAAGAAATTGGGTAATTACTATGATTGCAATTAGGTTATATGTTTAATCTTTGTTGATGTAACAAGTTTTGACATATACATTGTTTTTACGATACAGAAATAAAAAACGAATACGCGGTAATTGGTGGTTTGCACGAAATGAACACACAATTGCAATTCAATGCTATAGAAGAGCTCTAGATTTTTTGATTCCTTCCAACAATTCCTCTACCGATGAAATCGAAGAATCTGCTACTGACACAGAATTGCAGGATTTATTGGAAAATCGTATGGCAGTATATAATAATTTAACTGCAGCTCAAATAAAAACTGAAGCGTATGATGCTGCATTAAAAAATGTAGAGAATGTTCTAACATGTCAGCCACAAAATATAAAAGCATTGTTTAGAAAAGGTAATATTAACCGTAACTTTATAAATGCAGTATAAATGTACATTTCATTCAATTTCAGTTGTTAGAATTAAAATAATAAGCGAACATATGTTTTATATTTACAGGAAGAATTTATCATCTTAAAGGAGAACATTCTTTAGCATACGCTACTTTTCTTCAAGCCGCTAAGTTAGATCCAGAATCGAAAGCTATTCGACAAGAATTAGCAATTTTAAAGAAAAAAAATGTGAAAGATGCGCAACATGAAAAAAATCTTTATCGTAAAATGCTCGGAACACAGAAAATGAGTGGTGCAAGTATGAAAAATCAAAAGAATAACAATAAAAACCGCGATTCAAACAAACTCGCTTGGAGTCTAATTTGTGGGGCAGCTGTTACTATTGCAGGAGTACTGATTTATAAGTTCACATCATGACAGAAGAATTGGAAATTTTATTCGCTAGAATCGCATTTAATAACGTAAACCATTATTGTGAAATATAATGATGATACAAGATATGATATTTTGTTACATAAAAATAACTATATATAAACAGATTGTTTGAAAATATCATATTACTTCTCTGTGGAAGTAACTTAAGAAACTAATGCCTCCTTGTAAAATTGTTCATAGCAATTAAAAATTAAGTATTCATCTTTTTTTTATCAATAAAAGGTATAAATACTTAAATATAATCATTTATGTATAAATAAAAGACAAATAGAAAAATTATTTTAAAATGATTTAAAAAATATAAAAATTTATTTATATTAATAATCATTTCATTTTTTTA